AGGCACGCAGAATTTTGTTCATATTTTGTTTGTGTACCGTTTCTGTGTCTTCTGGGTTTAGGAGGTGTCGAAGTAAATTCCATGTTTTGCCTAGGCTCAGTTGGTTGTCCATGGCGGTACAAGTTTCTTCCCATTGTTGGCAATAAAGCTGTTGTGCGTATTGTTCGATTTCTTTGTTAAGTGTGGATATTTTTTTTATGTTATGTTTCTGCATTTTCCAGCGTTTTTGTAGCCCGTGTTTGGCTTCCCACATATGTAATAGCCTACTGTCCAGAATTTCAAGCCTAGCTTCCGGTGGGACTATTTTTATTGCCGCCGAAATACCCTTCTTTAGATTAGCTGTCCATTGGTCAATGTTTGTAATGCTTTCTGTGATGCCCTCTCGCATATTTCTGAATTTAACTCAGTTAACTAGTCCAAGCTGTTTGCCCATGGGTTTGGTGGGCCCCCCAATAAGCTGGATTTCAATGATAGAATGATCGCTTCCAAAATCTTGCTGTGTATTCAGCCATCGCGCCGATTGCGTGTTCTTTATAAAAGTAAGGTCGGGCGTGGTATCACCACAGACACTATTCCCCTGCCTAGTGGGTACTGTGGGGTCAGTGATGAGTGTTAGCCCTTCCTGCTGCGAGTCCAGCCAAAGATTCCTGCCCTTGGGGTGGACGTGCTTATAACCCCATGTACAATGAGGGGCATTAAAGTTCCCTCCGATTATTACAACTCAGTCACCCGCTATGGTAAGCGTGCGCTTAAAGAGAGTTAAAAATCTGTGCTGTGTGAATCTCGGGCTACTGTACACGTTTAGGATGAACACACTGTCCCCTGTTTTTCTTGTGGGTATGATTTCAATTAGTATATTTTCTATATCGGTAACCTGTGTGCTGTGTTGCACTATCGTGTGATCTCTCCGCACTAAGGTTGTAAGGGCTTTAGTCTCCCCCTCGGCACTGCCGATAGAGCGGTAGCCAGACAACTTAGCGAGACCATGCGACTCCTGTAAGATGAAGTTATCTGGTTTTTCTTTATCTTTAAGATAGTGGTGTAGAATGGCTTCCTTGTTTCTGTAACTTCTACAATTCCACTGCCATAATACGTATTTATTGCGTCTGTCCATGGCGGCAATTATTGCTGTGGAGGCGCCGGGTTCATAATAACCGGCTTTAGTTGCGGAGGTTTGACGATTGGTTTAAAGGGCGCTACTCCACTGGCTTGTAGGCCTGTAGCAGAGGGGCATTTTTCAAGTTCTGTTACCCTAGTAGATAAGCTATCTAGTTGCTGCAGGTGAATCTTCTGTTGTTGTATAACTGTGGTAATTTGCTGGATAATTTCTATTCCCCACTTTTTGATTTGCGATCCCATGGTTTCCTTAATGTCGTTTATTGCCTCAATTTGAACTTTCACAGCTTCTTCAACTTTGCTTATTCGTAAATCTACGCGTTCTTCAGATTCCGCTTGACCTTTGTGCAACATGTTAGCAGTCTTGGTTTTCTTGTGCTTGCTAGTACCATCGTCGTTTTTCTCTAAAGCCTTATGTTTGGGGAGAGAAGAATCATTGCTCTCCTCTATACTGGTTACACTATCCTGTGTTATAATTATTGCATCATTGCACTGTAACGTGCCTGTTCTGTAGTTATGAATTTCTTCCCTTAATCTTTTATTCTCCTCCCTCATGGCGGCAATTATCTGATTGTTTTGCATAATCATTTGTTTCAGTTGTGCTAACTCTGCCTCGAGTTTGGCCACTTTCTGGTCAGAAGCAGCCTCCGCCTCCGCGCGCGTCCCCTTGACCCTGTCTGCCCAGCTCACCTTTAACGATGTATCGGCGCCGGGGTTTCGCGGTTCCTTAGCCCTTGACTGGGAGTGTGACTTTGACCTGTAGCGGTTCCTGGACCTGGAGCAGTTCTTCGACCTTGAGCGGCTTTTCCTCTCATGCGGCAAACTGGGGGAGGACTCCGATATGTTGTCCCTTGCCGCGTTGGAGTGAGATGGCCTGTCTTGTGCGGCGAGAGACGCGTTCTCTTGTTCTTGTCTGGCTCTTTCCCAGCGGCATTTCCGCACTAGGAATGGTGTCTTATACCTTGCTTTGCAGGTTCGGTCTGCTGTGGGGTGGCCTTCGTCGCACAGCTGGCACCTGGCCTTGCAATCGTGGCTTTCGGGAGGATTCGGCATCCTGCAGCCTCGGCAGATCTTATCTTTAGGGTTGGGGCAAACATCCGCCCTATGCCCCAAGCGTCCACAGTGGTAGCACACGTCCAGTTGTTTTCTGTACAACGAACATCTTAGCAATGCCCCGCCGTATTTCACGTAGCTTGGCACACGGTAGCCGTCGAATAGTACAATCACATTGGTGGTATTGCCCATTCGCTTGGCCACGAGCGCATTTGGGTTCCTGGGGCTTACAACGTTTTCAGTTATATCTCGGGCAGTGTCTTCTAGCGGTATTTCCCGGATCACTCCCTTGGAGGTGTTTTCTGGGGCTGCTTCATAAGCGCTGGCTTCAAAAGCTTGCGTGCCTATTTTGATACAGACAATTCGCTGGTATCTGTTGGCATGTTCTTCAACAGGAGTGCTGACCACAACAATGTTTTGTTGGTAGTTGAGGCAGATTGTGTCTTGCTCTCGCACTTCCCTTAGTATATTGGCCGATTCGTAGACGCTGTTGGCAATGCAGGCGGCACCGTGGTCACTGACGCGAAGTCCCCCACGAGGTCGAACAATTATCTAGTAGTCTTCCCTTGGAAGGGGCGGCATTCTGCTACCTCTGGTGATTTGGTGAAGCCGTTGTTCTCTCAGTTTCTTGTCCTTCTGCTCCGTCGAATGCTGCTCGCTTGGTTGGTCTAACATTTACTCTGTAATTTTTCGCTGTCCCACCGGTCGCCATCTGGTATTATCCTCAAATTCTTCTTTCGAAATGCTTTCTCCCTCCACGGTCACTTCCATCTGGTCAAAAAAACTCGAAACCCCAAGCGTGCAGGGCGCCGCGTTCTTTGTCGTTCCACGCGACGCCTAGCTGCGTCGCAGCGGTGACGGCGGTGTCTACGGCGAACGCTATGCAGGTGGCTCTGCTGCCGGTGCAGCGAACACACAAACGGGCATAAAATGGTCAAATGCAAGTCCTCCCACCTGATTTTTCGTCAGGATGGTCGCGATGACTTGTGGCGTCGATTTGTAACGACAAATCCGCTGGATATGGTGATTTCCGCCAAGAAACATCCAGAAAACACGGAACGGACGCGATGAGCGACTGCTCCTGCCAGGCGCCTCACACGTCTCCCATTCTATGGAAAGGTTTTATACTTTTACCGAGTTTTGTAGATTCATTTTTGTACTTCATGTATGAAATGTCTTGGCTGTACATACTGTTCACAAATAAAATGTCCATATGAATGCTTTTCAGCAAGTGTTATGTAAAATGAAGTGCACATTTTTTTTCGGGTGTCTGTTAATAACTCGTCATCGTGTGCACAAGGTGGCCAAGTCCTCTCAAGCTGTTTGTGCAACTTTCCACTCGGTCTTGAGCTGTGGCAACTTCATGCACGTGCACACACACACACACATTTTCGATTCAAGCCTTTCTTAGAGAGTGTAGACAAATTCTTGTGTTTTATTTTTTTCCTCTAGGGTAATACACAGCTCCTTGGGCTTTGTTACAACTGCCAAAATACAACACACAATCATTCCTTTTTATCTCGGACTCCAAGATTTCGAACTTCCTGCCGGCAATTTTTCCTTGACGTAACCAGGAGTACCTGGCATCACCAGTGAAAGTGCCAGAATTTTTCTCCCGAGGTAGAAGCTATGACAAGACGTCCTTAAGGTGTGTTTATGTGTGGGTGGGAGAGACGGGGCAACCATCAGGCATCATCACCACAAACTAGTTCGGAAATGCAGTTTGCAGAGGGAAGACCCTAAAGTTCAGCGAGAGCTGATCGAACAGGTCTAACTAGCAGCCTACTCCACAGAACACCTAGAATTGTAAAACCAATCACTGTTTACGAATATTTAGCAAAGTTTTAAATCACCCATTATCGTTATCTGCTCAATCCCACATGTGCAATCACCTATTATTGTTACCTGCTCACTCCCACATGTGCACTCACTGGCACAGCTCTTCCTTTTTGCCAATGTCTTGGCAAATGCACATTGCAAATGTTCACAAAATGACATTGCTGTTCGGGTTTTACTATCACGCCATCTTATGCTACCTGTCCGGAGAAGGCAGCTACATTGTTATTTCTAGGTTTCAAAAGAAATCACTTTTTCGCAATCTGCTGTCAGTCATACCCTGTGAAAGCATTCTTCGTAAAAAAAGCAAACACATATGCTAATCACTTCAATCGATTCAAAGTGCAGTAAAATTTCTAGTGCTTAACAAATCTGAGACCAATGTGAGACAACTAGACAAGTTTCAAAATTATCGTGCAGTTGCAGCAGGGCACGGATAGAACAGCCTATTTCTTAACGTATCAAAATTTATGTGGCTCCTACACCATACGCAAAGTGCCTGTGCACTGACCTTGGCTTTAAGTCTCTGATCTTACCTGAAATCTATTCATCCAGTGATGTGATTAACTTGGCGAAGTGTTCCATACCTTGAAAACTTGGGACGCGTTCAGAGAGGCTGGGACAATCCCTCCTTGCATGCTGACGACCATTAGTACCAACACATCTCACAGTCCTGCCAGCTGGTGGATCCAATACTGCCATATAAGGCAACTAAGAGGCGAGTGAAGAACTTTTATTCAAAATAAGATGAGGAATCTTCTTTCAGGAGCCTATACAATAACTCTATGGGCAACTGCTGTGCCCAACTGTTAAACATGTGGTCGCAGAACTTGGCATCCATTTAAAAAGTATAGGATGTATAGGCATAGCCAGGAGAGGGAAACAAGTGTGTTCATTTTCCCCTTCCCCAATAATTAGTTTGGATGTGTATGTTCGCTTCGCTTCTACTTTACTTCTCCAACATTTCCCTTTTTTTCTTCTGAAATAAAATCCAGGCTTTCTGCCAGATAGGATGGATTGTTCAATTGCTTGCATCATATTTGTGATGATGAGCTGCAATGTCCAAGAAGGTAAGAGGCCTTTTAATGAATGGTAGCACACTTTGGTGCTTTAATACACACACAATCTTGTGATAAGTTCGTGAAGTTCTGCAGTCCCCCTCTAACAGTGGTCTCATAACATGCGGCCCTCTAACAGTGGTCTCATAACACGCCGCCTGCAAGCAGCACTGTTGGCTTGGAGCCAGCACATGACTGTCTTAGTCCATATATATTTTGAAGTATATAAAAAAAAAACAAGTCAAAATGATCCTTTATGAAGCAGGCACAGATGTGCAATACCAAAATACAGTAAAATCTTGTTAATTCGAAGTCACTAGGGCCATGAGATATCTTAAAATTCAGCAGGCTTTACAATTAACAGAACATATAAAAAGTGGGATACAAGGAACTTGGAATATTGAATGTAATCAGGACAGGTCGTTTACTGTGCCAGCTAGTTTGCAGCTTAAACGGTTATGTTTTCCAGCAATACAGGGTTCCAATTTTGCCGCAAACTTGGGGGAATAGCGGGCCTCGCTACTGCCAGCGAAAAAAGAAAAGGGAGTAGAATCAACTGAAATGAGTGCCTGCAGAGAAGAAGACATCTTCACTGCAACATGGTAGTGACGCGCCGGCAGCATGTCGCCTGCTTCTCGCTGCGTGAGCACATCATGTTGCGACCATTTATCTATTTTTTCTGTTAAAATGAAGAATTTAATAATGACCAGTGTGACGGAATTTGCAATGTGTTTTGTCATGGTCATTGAAGCTTTCAAAATAGGCATTGCAGGCAAGAACTCCGCCAGCAATGCAAGTGCACTATTGCTGGAGCAATGGGAGGTTTGCATACATTGGAAATCTGCCAGACTGTCCTTTATTGATTTCTTTATATTTCCAGAAAAAATGAGTAAATGATGACGCGCTTACGTTGCGACAAGCATGCAACATGCTGCCCACACGTCACTACTGTGTTGCAGTGAAACACATTTTGATGATAAGTGGGGTTAACGTCTCAAAATTATCATACGATTATGAGAGATGCCGTCCGTAGTGGAGGGTTCCGGAAATTTCGACCACCTGGGGTTCTTTACCATGCACCAAAATCTGACCACACGGGCCAACAGCATTTCCGCCTCCACCGAAAATGCAGCCGCCGCAGTCGGGATTCGAGTCCGCGACCTGCAGGTCAGCGGCCGAGTACCTTAGCCACTAGACCACTGTGGCGGGGCGTGAAACACATCTTGTTTTGCTCAGGTGCACATTTCAGTTTACCATGAAAATTTTTTTCTTTTTTGCACTAGATGTAGCGAAACTGGTATGCTTCAGCTGCCAGTCATTCATATTGCTAGGTTGCATTGCTTTGTGGCTCTGAGGGCCGTTTTTCTCGAGGATTCGCGGGAAAATCAGGATTGGGTACTGGCACATGGACCCAGTTTTCAAATTAACCAGGCTGGTGCTGACCGCCGCTTCAAATTATCCGCTCAAAGTTACATTGCCAAATACGGGACCAAGGATACATTTTGAATTAAGTGAGATTACCGTAGTTTTATATTTCGTTTTCTTCCACGCACACCTTCATACAGCGCGTGATGAAAAAGCTACGAAGTGAAGTTGTTGCACTGAGGGTTACATTTACGGAGTAAATTAAAAGTGGTCATTCCCTAATGTTATACACTGGAGTTAAATACAATGTTTTCTCCCCCCCTTCCCATGCAAGTTCAGCCTCCTAAAGTTGCAACAGGGTGATGGTATTGCACAAATCTGACTTTGCAAAATATTTAGCAGACGTAGACTCAAAATCATGTAGTTATATCTGCAAGAGTAATATTGGTAGATTTATTGTCTGGGCATGCATACTAATTCTTAGCATTTTACGTACTGAACAATACGATTATAATGCACAATATTACAGGACTAATGATTACTTTTGTGTATCAGAGGTTTTCTAATGCGCACCTTCATTAAGGCACACGGCTGAATTTGAATCATTTTTGGTGTTCTCTTTCGTATCACCAAGAAACTTGAAGAGTAGATGAGACTACCCTTTCATGCATTCATACAATATATTGTCGTAGCAACAATGCACAAGCCGTCTGTCAACACTTACCATAAAATCTTCATCCTAGTGACATCTGCATGATGCACCTTATCAAAATTATCCCTTTGCTTATAGTGCCTTAGAACAAACATACAGAGCAACTGTGTGGGAGAGAGCTATGAAAAATGAGTTCACCATAGGTGCAAATTCATTGAAAGTCATTTTTATTTAAGAGTAGGTTTCAAAAACTACTTTTCCTCCTAGAATTGGGGCAGTCCAACTGGAGAGGTAAGGCAAAGTACAAGCTCCAAGAAAATGATGTTCAGTGTGAACATCCTGCAAGCAGAAGCAACGAGCCAGCACAACCATAATCCTCCGGCTTACCCAGCACCCACACAAATAAATGGCTGCAAGATCTGGCAACCATGCAAGTGAAACTGGTTCTTCATAGGGTTAAGCCACATCAATACTAGAGGCCTTTTCAAGTCGCTCGCTCGAAGGTTCTTTCCAAACTTGGCAAGAATAACACCAGTGAATGCAGCTAGTTCTACCATCTCCGTGAAGAAATAAATATCTGACCTTTATATTTGTTAACCACAACCATGTTTTCTCATCTTGGGTGAGTGTCGAGTATTGTCACAAGTGATTTGAGAAAATGTTGCTTCAAAGTTTCAAAAAGACTGGGAAGCAAAATTGTAAGTAGTAGTTGACCACCTAGGACTACAGCTTTGTCCAGCAGAGGGCATGAAATTACCCCTTTCAATGGGTACATTGCAGGCAAAGCCCTTGCCATGACACAACAGAAATTGGAGATACTAAAAAAAACAAACAGTGAAATGCCACCAAATGGCTGTATGCTGCCCCATTAGAATGGGGGCAGGTGCACAATTGTGACTAGTTCAAGAGACCTAACACACCAAAAGCAGTAGAGACAAGGTACCCAGTGGAGTCAGTTGAGCAATGCAATTTTCAGTCTCCACGTTGTAGCTGGCTCTCTTAAGGCTTGTTTGACAAGTTGTTGCTAGCACACTATCTGGAGTAGCATTATACTTTCATTTCTTTAGTGTACGGCAGCACAGCTGTTCTTGTGCAACTACAGAATGGAAAGAATGTGTGGGCAACTCAGAAGATGTGAAATTCTGGGTACTGATGCTATGCCAGAGAGGACTATATTGACAATTGCTGAGAAAAGCATGTCTTAAATCACAGCTGCATCGTGCAACTGAAGCCAGAAGTTCTGCCTCGAAACAAAGCACACATCAAAAAAAAAAAAGTGAGCCAAAAGGCAGATTTTTTCACTGCGAGCTACTAAATAATTTCAAAATTAAACTAAATACAAAAAATGATAGCAGTGCCAGTCTGTTCTAATGCCAGTTGTGCTGCTGCATCTTTTAAACTGTGTCTATTACCCTAAAGAACCACTATGTGAAGGTGAGAAACATAGTTACTGCTAATGTTCACCTTTAATTACAATGCTATCTGATAATATTGAGTTTCTTGATAACCTATTTTAAGTGTAAAAAACATGCAGAAAATGGCCAAGACAGGCATCTATATGACAGTGTCAAACAGCAGCAATACAGCTTTTATAAAGTGAAAACTGAACCTCCTTCTTTCTTTTTTTTTTTTTTAATACCATTATTCTGTTAACTTCAAAGTGCTTTCTATAACATTGTAGGTTGGCTACGTTCTGAAAAACTAAACTGAAAGCCAAATGTGAAACTGGGAACAGTACTAGGTCTTGCTGCAATTAGCGTTGTTGGCCATTACATTTGTAGAAGGCATATGGGATCCATTTTTCATCTAGTCACCACCTACTGTGAATGTGTTAGGATAATAACTGCCATCTAGTAACCTCCGTAAGAATAAATCAGTAAAGAACTCATGACATATGCAAACTAGAATAACTTTCACAAAGAAAAAAGAAAACATACAAAAAATAGTTATCACATCTAACCAATTAGACTGTTTCAAATGATGCACATTTGGTAGCCTTACTCAAAAAAAGAGCTAAGCTACATATGTTGCAACTCAACCTGCAACGCTTAATTCTAATGTTTGTAAACATCAAGTAGGCCAGACAGCTTAACAGCATTCAGTGGAGCAGGAACTTTATACAAAAGTAGTCACTTGAATGTTACAGCCATTGCTTATGCTTCTGGCATAAAACTATGCATATTTCATGGTGAGTGGAAAAGATAAGGTTCTGTTGCACAGCCCCGTATATGTAGGCCAACATTATCAGCAAGACCCAAAAAAAGCTCTGGACAGATGGAATTACTGTGCTATGCACATCTCGGCATAAAAGTGTGCTGTGCACTGGCCATACACCAAGTAAACAACCTTTGTAAATGGTGAATGTTCGTCAAGTAACATGGCAGGCAGACTGTTGAGTCAATGCACTTTAGGACATTTGAGGAAAACATATTGGAGCTAACAAAAAGCAGTAGAATTCATTAGGACTAGAAAAGAACAGGTAAATCAAGATTCTATGACTAGTAACATGATGACACAAGGGTTAAATATCTACAAGAAATTTAACAATTACAATAAAAACAATGCACACAACACTGCACATCATCAGGGCAGCAAAATGTTACACCAAACGAAGTCTTGCTGCAAGACAGATGAATGATTCACAGTATTTGACTGCACATTACCCAAACAGAAGTACACATGAACAGCATAATGAAATACATTTAAGGCAGGCACATAGTTATTTAAAAAAAATGTCAATAAATATACAATTATATGTAGCTTTCACAGCCACAGTTTCACAAAAAAGATTTCATACCGCTACAATGTGCAAAGGTACCATCTAAATAAGGTGAAAATACATTCTCTCATAATGCGGTACCAAGCACATCAAACTGGAATTCACAATAGACACACATAAAACATATCACTGCTGTTATCGAAACAGTCCAAGTGCTGTGTGCAATAAATAATGCTTAGATGTGTGTAATGCAACAAGAGAGAAAAATTCACAGCTTCTAAGGAGAACTGTGCACCTATCACACTGCTGCGATAAGCAGCAGGTCTTTAGCAATCTGGAGGGTGCTGTGTGCATGAAAGAACAGCAATATATATATTTTTTTCTTTAGTAGGAAAATGGTGCTGGTAACTGCTACTTAGTATGCTGACTAGTTAAGTGCTATATAGCAATTGCTCATTGCACTGTGCAGGCCCTTAAACCCAGAAACAAAAGAAATAATGTGACAAGGTTCGTTCTTGCCAAACTGCAATGATGGTTGCCTAATATTTCACCCTGACCTCGAACGCAGGACAAAAAAGGCATCTGGAGTATGGCAGGCAGAAGGCCATACACAACAAAACATCTCCCCATGAGGAGGAACACTAGTGCAAGAAGGTCAATGCTCACCAGCAGTAACTACAGTTACCTTACCAAGTGTGCAGTACACTATACCGGCATTATGAAAGCACAACAAGCTGCTAAGTAGTAGCAGCATTAGCTACAGCAGTGGCATACCTCCAGAATGCACAGGTAAAAAGTATGAGAAAGCGTGGGGTGGCACTGTACCATTAAAATAGAAACGCAGCCCCCCCCCCCTCCTCACAATCGCTCAGGTATTCTTTGGTACAGGCAATGATAACTTCTTAATTAAAGCAATCAGCAAATCATAGCATATAGCTACTCAGAAATATATAACCCATATCTCCTCAATGGAGAAAACTTTTGCAACATCTGTGTGCTAAACAGCCCTGCCTCGAGTAGCATGTGCTGAGCATTCTTGGTTATACAACTATTACAACATAGTGCAACAGCTCAACTAGTTGATAGCACAAAAAAAAGAGCTAAGTGAAACACACCACATAGGAAGTGACCGTGACTAGACCAGTATGTATGAATGACATGAAAACTGCAGTATCTGAACTCACGAAATGTTCTCGGTGCTGTAGTAGAAATACAAGCTTTTAATCGAGCACGAATACCATACATAATGGCTGGTTTCAGAAATATACCATAACATACGTGCTGTTACAACCAATGGCTGTATAATTTCACCAAACAGAAAAAGAAAGCTGCGTGTTTAGTCGTCTTACAGGATTCTTTAGCACACTAAGGGAGGTGGGTAACACTGTAAGCCATTGCTGTTGACATGGACCTGTTTAGCACACAAGACAGTGCACCTGAAATTTTCTTCTCTCTGTCTTTTTTTCTTCTTTTTAGTAGCTCAAGCTGGAGATGCAAACAAATAAAGCTCAGTGCAATAAAAGCACAGGGAGTTGCAAAAGGCTACCTGCCGCCGGACCAAACCCACAACTTTCGAATTCGATTCATTCCCTACTGGTGGTGAGCTGCTCTTTCATCCACTTCAATTCATTTTCCTTGATGTCACAACTTTTGCCCTTTAATCAAAAGCTAAAAACTAAGCCTCTTATGATTTCCATAGCTTTTAAAAGTATTTAAGTGACTAAGCTCAAACATGCCCTATGACATCAGTGTGCACTACAATTTTATCAAATTCATGTTATGTATAATTCTAATATTAAATTGAGTGAATTACAACTTTTCATTATTTTTTGAGCACGTAAAATAGCCTCCCAAAAAAAAACTGCACTCGCTTTGCTTCACTTATGAATTGTAGTGAACCATATTATCTACATATCATTGAAATAACCTATAAACTTGTGGTTCCAGAAATGATTTATACAAATCTTTAACTAGGTTACCAAAGACAAACAAATGCGAAAAATCCCACAACATCATTGCTGTCAAGCCACGTCATATCGCAAAAGTAGGCAATGGAAAAGGCGTTGGTGACACAACCCCCCCCTCATTGTGTGTCATATCTTGCTTGAAAGGTTAAATTATATGTGTGGATGAAGAGTTGCCCTATTCATTCAGTAAAGTAGGCCTTTTGTTAGAAATATTCAATGGCAACATGTTCTACAAGAGTAAGGGCATTCAATGGTGGTGCTTTCTCGCAATAATCCTTCCACAGAAAATTTTTCCTTGTGTATGCCTTTTTTTAAAACATCAAAAGGTAAATGAAGAATCTCGGGATCTTGTTTTCCAAGTGGCAGGGACAAAATTACTACACTAAAGAACTAGATGTATAACTCCAATTTAATGCAAATAAAATGTATTGTGCAATGACATGACTTTGCACACATTTACAGGAGCTTTCCTAATATAGTGTCATTTGTTCAGTTAGGAAAAACCCACCTCTCTTATAATGTGTGTGCACATAGCAACAAATGCATTTTTTGTTCATACTTCTCCAAATGAAACCACATATGCATGTAGAGAACACACGTGTGTGCGTGTGTGTGCACATAGCAACAAATGCATTTTTTGTTCATACTTCTCCAAATGAAACCACATATGCATGTAGAGAACACACGATTGCATAAAAGAAAAATGGCTAGCAGCCCTGCCTTTACTCAAAGCATTTTCAGGCTAAAAACAAATTTCAGTATTGCACCATGAGCACACACTAAAACAACGTTTACCGAGAACTACCTTTTGCATGTTAAAAGATTCCTACCATGCAAAATTTTGAAGCTCAAGCGCCTAAGATATTCAGTTCATTTGTGCCCAGGGATAAAGTATGTGGCAGTATCCAGATAAATAATGACTAATTTGATCTTAAAAATTGCACATGCAGCCAACTCCCAAGTATGAGTGAAACATGAAAATCACATGAACAAGAAATCAGGAATGCATGACATAAGTAATATGTAATATTGAATATTAATGAATATATATTGTAGTCTTGAATGCATAAGTAATATTTGCA